CATAAAAGTTGCATCCCCCAGACTATTTTCGAGTTCTCCATCTAACCATTCTTCAACGATCTTTTTTGCTCTCTTTTTCAAGGACTTTTCGTGCGATTTGTCGACAGGCGTTGATATAACGCCGAAGAAGTCATGATTGCTTGTTGTTGTAACAGATTCTGTACTGTAAATAAACTGATAGCGGAAGATAGCGGAATATAGCGGAAGTTGCTCGCTATCCAACAACGATAGCGCCGTTCCCGCTATCGCTATTCACTCGAACTTCCGATATCGCTATTCCGCTATTCGCTATTAGCGGACTAGCGGAATAGCGCGCTATTGCCCAACACTGCAAATACCCTTGTAGTAAACTGTAGCACTATCGAATCGCTTTCTGTTAACTCAAAATAAGTCGTTACTGCGTTGATAAAAAGCAGTTCTTGATGACATTAAACAATGTTTTTGCCATTTTCGGATTTACTCATTTATTATGACGATACACTTACGATACACAGATGTATTCAAGTGTGCTGTACAGAGCGCAGAAAATGAAAAAAAACGCAAATTATCAGTACAATACCATCAGTATTTGCAACGAAAGTGACAATACTTGTGACAACAATGACGATGAAATAATATTAACTTGGACAAGCATGACAATCATAACAATAACAGTTATGATTATTACTTGTCGATTCCAACTAATCCACTGTACTCTCCTCTCAGTATATACGTCACTATTAAAAACAGCACTGTAAAAAATTCCCATTGAAATTCACAAACCAAAAGGCTCAACGACCAAAAGACGTCCAGAAATGATCTGCATCAATTTGTATAATATCATCTACCGATATCTTTGGAAACCTGTAAGGTTTGCCCATGGGAAGATAGTTCAAATATATGAAATTGCGAGGAAAACATTCTGAATACAAATCTGAATGCCTCGTTTGATCAGGGACCAGTTAAGTTGAGAACGAAGGTCGCCGGAGCCAAAGACTTCGGTGGAGAATCCTGTCCACATTTTGGTAGCCTTACTTAGTTGAATGTTTCATTGGCATCAATATTACCACTCGTATTACTCTAATCATTACCATCAAAGTTATCACAAAAACAATTCAGTGAAATATATAAACAGGCGCGATCGCAATTCATTAAATTGTAATGCACAGAAGAATAGAGAGAAGACAAAATAGCGTGCAAAAGATTGACAAAATCATTCGTTGAAACGAACGAAACAAAACTTGAATGTGCCCCTTTTTTCATGCAGACTCAAATATGACGGTAAATAAAAACAAACAAAATGCGTTCATAAATATTTTTAATTCATTAAAAATCTGAGTCGGAAAATGTTTTGAAAAAATACAACGAAATAGGCGCATCAGAAAAAAANAAAAAAAGGGTTGATATGCGAGATAAGCACATGAAAATCAGAAACAACGGCAACCTCTCTTGAGAAATACAGTATAAATATAATAAATACAGTATATACCACCACCTAAGCCAGCTCTGAGGAAAATGGAAATGGAAGAGAAATTTTTGATGAAAATATCTTTTCGAGGGAAAACTAAAGAATATCAACCCCCGAAATAAGGGATGTTTCCTTTCGCTTGGGAAGCGATCATGATTTTAGGCGAAAATTCAGTCGGTTATGAAATGATTTATCACTCAATCTCCAGGTAGCCATGCTTTCTTGTTCATCAATGTCTCAAATCACCCAAATTCATGCTCAAAGTGAAAAAAGCCAGTTCCCAGCCGTCATCACAAAATCGCTCAAATGACAGCCGGTCGGTCCTGTTTCGTGCAGTGTTTTCGAAAGTCAAAAAAGATACCAAATCGAAAAGTTCCAAACAGTTTTACAGCAGCCGACTTCAGAGAACAAATTACCAAAGAGAAATTCAAGATGTGAGTGAAGAAAATGGAACAATCAAAATGAATACACATTCAAAGAAAGCATGAAAATTGGTGGAACAATTACAACGATACTATAAAAAACAATTGCAAAGGTTAATTCACATAATACAGCAAGCCTTTGCATTCTTACCATCCACCCCGTACCTTAATTTCCGTAATTGTCCACTCGGTTTATACTTCTCAAGGAAATTCAGCTGCTTCTGATTCAGAGCTCCTCGTCGATGTCTGAAATAGCTCAAAAAATTAACATGGGAACGGACGGGCTGAAGGAAAAACGCCGGATGAAACCGATTCCATGGAATCAGATGAAAGGTCGATTGGTTCAGGTTATCCATCGTAGTCACTGATGCAAACAAGCTGAGCATCTAACCTTCTGATGAGATCGACAGCATCTTCGTATTTCATACCGGCTTCCATTAGGGCTACCGCTACAAGCACAGGCGCTCTTCCTAGACCTGCGACACAATGTACCGCAATACACTGATCAGGATGTTGCTTGAAACTGTCCTTCGTTAGGGACAACCATTTATTTATCACCTTAAACGACTGTTCCAATCACAAACGAGAAAAATCAAATGTCTAAAGTCAGCTCTAACAATAAGACATCTTTCCTGTTCCCTCTTCACTGCAGATTATATNTACCTCAAAAACTAGACTGACTGACCTCAGGTGGCGGCGGATTGCCGTCCAGAAATTCCCAATCCAGAACATCGATTCCGTTCGAAACCAGCGGCGTTGTCTCGTAGGTTGGTTCGCATACCCGTACCACAGCTCGAGCGTTATGCTTGCTCAATTCCTGAATGAAAATATTCCAGATTATAAGCGTCAGTGAGAAACGTTTGTTAACGTTTTATCAGTGTGGCACACCGCATGTGAGAGCAAAATTTCTCTCGGTGATGAACGATTGAGTTGTTTATCGGTTGTTCAGCTACACTACATCTTGATCAAATCAAAAAAGTATGACCAAACAATGACAAGATCAACAATCAATGGACTTTAACCTCTCCCATACTCTGATAAAGAAATTGGTTTGAGGAATTTTCTTAAGGAACACGCCCTAGGAGCCATGATTCAGGAGTAATTCCGAGACATTCTGATGTTTCCTTCCGAAACACTCCAAATGCCACAAAATGATTTCAAAAATAAAATAAACAAATAATCAAAAATTGCTCCAGTCGCCACTAATCCTCCATTTCTGGGCAACTTACCTACGAAATCCAATTCACAGTTTGTTAATGCTTTACACAGTTATGATTTACCTCACACGATCAACCGAGTAAACCCAGTGATCTACTTACTCGCAAGGGTACGTATCGTACACACTTTCGTCCACATTTCATCAATAAATTTCAACTAGCCACAAAAATGAATCGAAATACAACTGCTTTTTGATTTTGACTAAAGATTAAAGGGTTGAACTTTTCAAAAGAGCAAAACACAAACGATCATCTTGAATTATCACCAGTGAAGATCATCTCATTTTTGATCTCGTGATAAACACAAAGCACTCAAAAAACCATTTCCCATGAAGATTTTCTTCTGCATTTTAACTTCATCTGCGCACAAACGTTGAAAAACATTCGGGCGAAAATCACAGCAACCCTCTACGAGGATTATCTCATGATAGTTTCCTTTTCCATAAGAATTAACACTCAAATATCTCCCAATTCTCAAATATGCTCACATTACCTCACAATCAGATCAAACCAGGAACTAAATTCCCTAATGATTTTTTATCTCCACTAGGCAGACATAAACAACGAACATTCATTCATGCAGATCATAGTTTATTCTCGTCAACAATTCTTTTTCCTTCCTAAACGTCACGTAAACAATTGGGAATATTCCTGCATTCATCACTGCTTGAAAACCGGTAATTTAAAGCTTTCTTCATCCTCGAGCCTTTCAATCACTGAACTGTTAACACAAAAAACAACTCGAAATTGATAGTTTACAGCGAAGTGATAGTCGACAGTAATTTGATGAGTAGATGATGTGAGCACATGATACAAACTCCTCAAAAAAAGCCTAGCCATATGCCATTGGAACTACTGCAAAAACATCTGAAGAAGCGATGAAATATCTATCAACATTGGATCACTGTTGCTCGCTCATCAATTACTTCTTATTGTTTGACAAACAGCTTTACACGTCAGCAAACCCACTGAATCAACACGTCNACATTTTTTCCTTCTTCTCTCGAATCACATTATCAGCCAGTTTAAAGCTTGATGGCAACTTTCAGATGCGGTCAATAAGTCCATAAATTCGCCTCAGAAAGATTGCCACATACAAAAAACTTGCCACTAGCACAAAAAGTTTGACCTATCGCACTTTTAATTGCAAGTCAGCGAACATGAAGATCAGCAAAAGGTCATTGGCTAATGAACGGTTATAGATAAAACTTAAAATATGTATCCACGAAATGAGAAGAATGAAAAAAATGGGAACTATTTTAAAAAATCACCTCAATAAAATTATTGATATTCATATCGGATGGTCGATCAGTGATGAGAAATCGCATTTTGCCATACTGAATCTCACTCGGTGCCGGTTTGAAATATGTTGGTGAAGTCGCGATACGTCTCGTGGCCGTACCCATTTTGAACTGTTCCTCAGATTTTCTTTTGCTTCTTTTCAAATCTTCTCGATTCGTTTTTGCTTGGTTTACAAAATATTGTCTTCTGATAAAACTAGATTCAACTTGTAATCGTCCACTCCTTGGCCAATTTTCTTTCTTCTGATGCGATAATATACTACCAAAATAATCAGCACATAAAACTTCGTCGACAACAAACTTTTGGTAGTGAATTACACAATCCAATCAATCAGTCAATTTTAGTCAACTGGGCAATAATAATTTGCAAGTGCAAATCACACGATGAAATGCTGGCCTTCCGTTGAACAGGTAGATAGATGATGATGAAAGAATGGTAATATCAGTGTTGATAATATCAACAATTAATATCGGATGAGTTTCAGATCAGATCAAAACAATCAGTTGAAAATTATTTCGATTCTTTCCAGTTCAGAACCGACCGATTCTATGATAGACCACAACAGACAGGTGGAATAATACATCCAATCACGCCGAACTGGACCAAATGTTGCAATGAAAGAAGCACCAAAATTGATAATCAATCAATTCCTTCTTCAACAAGCAAACCGAACTGAAAAATACGGTGATAACGTTAGTGATATTGCTAACGCTGAAGATTATGTGCCCTCTCCAGGTAGTTTTAGAACTATGCAAGAGGAATTGGTTTGAATGAAACGGACAGCTTGCAGCAAGAAACAGTGTCGACTGCAGAACCGTAAACTCTAATATAACAGCGAATTCAACAGAAGAACACAGTCGAATTTGAATAAAACAAATTAAATGAATGAATTAATGGAGGCGATTGAATCACTTAAAGGAAGTTTACTTTCGAGTTCGGCTTCCAACTATCTGAATTTTTTTATGGACTGATCGAGCAGATTTATGCTGGATTTAATGGTGTGTGGTTTAATGGAACAACTGTTATGCAACTGTATTTGGAAATAACGAACCCGTCTGACAAGTGATAATAGATAATACTGACTGATTATTATGTTTCAAGGAGGTCGAAGGTGATGACAGAGTGCAGTGATTAGTAGAAGATGCAGTAGAACAGTGTGTGATCGAGCAACAGCTTCGTTCTTATGGCTGTTGGTCTTATTGATTATTGTGGGTGTTCGCGTTGGCTTATGCCTATTGATACTGATAATCGAAGTGAAATTTGAAATCGAAATATTTTCTTGATTATTCCTTGCTTCAGCGGTACCACCAGTACAGAGAACGAAAAAACGATTCACTAATGTCAACAGCAATTGATCACAACGTTCGACCAAACCTGAAACCAATTAGAACTGTTAATAACAATAAGATCAATTGATGATTAGTTCATTCTCTTGGAACTATGCAAATGCTCAAATTCACTTGATCGAATGCAAAAATAATTCCAATTCTACTAACGATAAATATGCGAGCATTTGGTTTTGATCTTCAATTTATGTATAATTGTTTTTTCAATTAATTACAAACATGACAATTTTTATTTTGACCATATTCTCGTATGGTCTAGTTGGTGTTTACCTTAAGTGATGATATAAGGGTCTACACTACGCTCCCTTAATCCCTTGGAATGCGACATCAATTCTACAGTAAAAAAGCATACAGCCATTTAGTGGGATTCCACATAACTGCCTAGCTTATAATCCAGAGAGTGATGTACAGTCCCATAACATTCCGCTCAAAAATCCTCATGATCAGGTAGAAGCAAAGGATTATTCAACCACTATTCAATCCAGCCATTATAAGAGGTACTTCACTTGAAAGTACATGTGAACTTATTCTCTTACATTGCTCAATGAACGAATAAGAAGAAGAAGGTGAATAAATAAATGACTCAGCGAATGGATGCAAAAACAATAAGAAAAAGTCTCAGCATGAATTCCAACAACAACAAAAACGTCACCATCAAACAAATGGATTGAGAGCACGAGCACATGATCACTGAATCAATTGCGTCATAGAGACCAATGAACTGGAGGAAAATAATTCTCTTGCATCGTCAACGAACGAACAAAAGACAAATCAGCAAATGAATCTACCCGACGACGGTTTATGTGAAGACTGTTTCGCTCTTGAGAGTCACCAAACTTTCAGTGGACGACCACATATGATTCCGCATCTGATCATATGGAACAAAACCACTAACTCAAAACACAGTGCGTTATCTTCTCCATCTTCACAGCATTGAAATAATGGAGATTTGAAATGGAATAGAGCACAAAAAAGCCATGATTAACCCATGCATGACAAGAGTATCATCTTAAATGAACGAACAGCTTCACAATAAACAAGCAGCACCTACTTACAGTTGTTGCTGTGATGTTTCTAATCTATTAATCGTAAGCACTCTGATACTCGGTCACTGAAGCAACTAAACGCAGCAGTTTCTAAACGTATGCTATTCATCGCAGCACACAGCCAACCAGCTCAGCTGATAACAACTATTCAAAACAACACGTACTTATCAAACATTCCCAACGAATGCACTTGCTTATGTTCAAAGAATAATCAAAATGAGAGGAGAAAATCAATCAACGACGAGAAAAATCCCATTAAATGATGTTGATAATGATGCTATACGAAGACGATTGCTAGATGAGAAGCTAGATCAGCCCTAAAACAAATTGAACAGCAAAATGTTTGCAAATTTAAAGAAAACAAAAACTGACAATAACATCAGAAACAACGAAAAAATGGCTATAAAACCACAGACTGCTGCAAGGATGATGATGAATGTACCGTGACCACCAGCTAGAATGCTTCTTTTTCTGCTGCCTATCATCAGTGCCATCTATTATATCTCCATTATCTTCTATCAAAGCAACGCAATCAAATCATTACAATCCACACCACTGATATAAAGCATTTCGAATTCAGTTTCCAGTACCATAGCACATTGCCAATAACCTCACAGAAATGAATACGAACACAGTCACGCCACAACAACATTATGCTGCGCAACAAAACATAAATATTCTTTTATACGACTCGTATAATATAGAAGCTCTCTGATCACCTAAGTAATATTTACATTAGAAACAGTTCACTATTTACTGTCTACATTAACAGGAACATCATTATTAGTATTATCGTTACTATGACTTTTATTATTATTGCTATTATTACTATTATTATTTTTATTATTACCGTTATTATTACGTTAAAATGTTTGGCAAGGAGACGACTAACAAAACAACCGGTGAATCAGGATAATGACGTCGCTTGAATTCATATGAATCAATTGCTAAGACTAAACAATACACATCATACGACTGGCAGTATTATTAGCGGAGACTAACGCGCCTTGTATAGGGAGACTGCATTCTGTTTTCAGGATCGGTACTCTTTCTGCAAGCACCGTCGTCGTTCACTTCGGAAAATCAGTTGGAAATCCTCACATCAGTATGCATCTAATTCTATCTACTGAAGAAGGCGGCAGTAAATACTCGTCAGTAATGTAAACAAACCATCTTACTCTTATCATTCCACAACCATATCAGAACGTTTCATAAAGTACTTATTCACCGTTGAATTTTATCTCATTTTTGTATTCAGTTCTTCACAATAATCCCTCCTCCCTTCCTGCTGATTTTGCAAAAAGTTTCAGACTGATAACAATTCCACTGAATACATCGTTTCTTTTCCCATAAATTCCACTCTTCTCGCAAAATTTTTCAGCTCCATTCCGCTCATATGCTTTTCTCCTCTACCGCTCTTTTAAAGTTATGCACTCCTGGTCGCAATAACAATTATTATCAAGCCACTTCCAATTCCTAAACATCTACATGATGATAATACTCATACCGCAATTTAGCCCCAACAAAAATATTCTAAAACAATTCTACCCAAATGATGTAAACCATCGAAACTTCAAATTCTCAACTCAAATTCACAAAATGTAAACAGTAACTGATAAACTCATCGAAATTATCATGCTCTCCTGATCACTTGTCACTGACTGCAAGAGAAAAAGCTTCAATCAAGAGAATTTCGACTGCAATGAATGACGATGATTTATGATGTACAATACATAATACCGCTGCTATACTAATCGTAAGCAGTATGACGAATCGCATTAAGACTATTGAATGTTTCGAGAAACCATCAATTTTTAAGTCAAAAGTGAATCGTAACGAACGGACGAACGAAATCGTCATCGATCAAAAACACTTCTAGAAGCATTGAACGTTGCTGTAACATCCTCAACACAACACTCGCATAAGCGTTATATCATCATCACATCTTCTCAAGAGCAAAAATAACAACTGGACCAAACGAAAACAGCGAAAAAACCACTGATATCTTATGCATCAAACAACATCACACTGAATCATCAACTAAACATTAGCGTTGAAAAATCCCATCAAAATAATCCCTTTCCCTGAGATGCTTTCACAACCTTCGCTTCATTTCCAGCCATTCGTTCAACTGTTCATTTCAGTTTCTTCACTCGACTTTACGATTGAATTTCATTCGGTTCATTTCATTCAACAAATTCAGTGTCATAGAAACAAGTCAACTTTCGATTATTTACAATGGATAAGAGGACGGTGACCATACGCCAGGACACCTCTCGACAATTCATATCAACTACAGATTGCAAAAATCAAAGAGCGACAAAAAAAATCCTGAACAAACATGAAACAGAACGGAGGCGACTATGAAAAATCAACAACAGATCAACAAAAAGTCAAAAAGATCAAACAAACTTTGATGCGCTGTAATATGATACACTTACTGCGAAAATGTTCGCACACTTTCAGCTAATGACGATTTTTCTGTGATTTTTGCGCTCTGACAT